TGCCATCTTTTGGGGTAGTATGTTCTGAACCCCATCGATGTCAATAATTGAATTAAATGTATGTGGTCTAAATACATCCATTAAAAAACAGAGGTCACCTGAGTGAAGATTAAAGTATATGCTCCAAATGTATGCTGTGGTAGGGGAGGAAAAATAATTTTCCCTCTACTCTTCTAGATTATTAGCTGAGACCCCTCCAATAATATAAAACAGATTAACAGGAGAAAAGAGCAGCTTTAAAACACACACACACATACACAATAAGTAGTGTACCTCCTGTATATATGGGTGAGACCCAGTACTCAGCAATACCTCAAATGGCCCAAGCCACCACCTTAAATACCATCTCCAGCTAAGGCAAAAAATGTTCCAGGTGGAGGGTGGGGAGGACAGTTTGGGGATGTTACCAGGCAAAGCACAGAAAACAAGACTATGGTTGTTAGACAGATTTAAGTCTTTGCCTTCTCCGGTGGGTTCTCAGTTTTAGTCATCCATCTTTTCCTGACACAGAGAGAGAAACTGTTGCAAATGCAGATTTCCCTTGTAATGTAAATTTCTCTTATAAAAGACTAACTTCTACTACTTTTTCAAAGCTTTTTTAAATGTCTGCTATTAAAAAAAAAAAAAGTTGAAGGTAATCCTTATGCCTGAGAGGCATATTTTAGGGTGGCAAATAATGTTCCTCTGCATTGTCTACAGGAACTCACTTCATTCAGGTTGAAATGACAGGGTAGAAGAGAAACTGCAAATATCGACACAAGGAATCAGGGTATATTAATATCAGGTAACGAAACCACGGCAAAGAAAATTACTAGAGACAGAAAGGGGAATTATAGAATGATAAAAGGGCCAACCGGATAAGAAAACTGAGCAATTCTAAATGTGTAAGCACCCAATAGCAGCCCTGTAAAATACATGAGGCAAAAAGTGGTACACCTGCAAGGAGTAATAGGCAAATCCACAATTACAGGTAGACAGATCAACAATCCTCTCAAAAATTGATAGAACAACTAGACAAAAAGTTAACAAATATATAGAAGTCAACAAATGGCTCGTTTTCATCTGTAAATCAGCAATGGTAATATAGACATAGAAAAATGTTCCCTTCTTCTCTTCTAGGCTCTTTGGCTGGTTTAGTAATCACATTGACACAGGGGCACCTGGGTGGCTTAAGCACGGTGGGTACCTGCTTTTGGCTTCGGTCATGATTCCAAGGTCCTGGGATTGAGCTCTGCAACACATTGGGCTGCCTGCTCAGCAAGCACCCTGCTTCTCCCTCTCCCTCTGCCTCTTCCCCTGTTGGTGTGCTCCCCCCCTCAAATAAATAAATGAAATATTTTTTAAAAAAAGTTACATTGACACAGGGCAGATTAACAGCAGAAAAACAAATATAATTTCTTATGTATGAAAGCCTCTCAAAGACATGAGACCCAAAGACAGTAAGGCAATTGGGGCTTGTGTGCCATCCTGAGCTAAGGAATGGGGTAGGGACCTGGAGCTTCCAAGGAGAGGTTGGCGAATCACAGGAAGATAAGACTAGATGTTTGGTTATTCAGCTGTTTGCCCTGCCTTTCAGATAAATCAGATCAAAAGAAAAATATCAGTTGTTGAGAGGATTGTTGCCCTGTCAATAGCTCTCTTTTTAGTACTGTTAGAATAGGCAGGCAGGGAGGCTCTAAGAGGATGCCCAAAGGCCAGCAAGCAGGAGGCCATGGCCAGCCATGGCAAAGGTCCAAGCCTGTCCTGACAGCACTCCACTAGGAGCTGTATCAAACCAGATAGGCCCCAGATGGTGGTGCCACAACAGGAAGCCCCCGAGTAGGTTAGGAAGAAAGAGTGGGAAACCCTTCTTCCCCCTCCAATAATAGATATCCCGCCCCATAGTTAACAACTGTTGATAATAGAAACCCCCATCTGGGGGAAGCAGCTCTTTTCTCCCTCTCTCAGAGCTCAAGAGTATACTTTTAACATCAATAAACTTTCCTACTTGTGTCCCTCGTCCTCTGTGTTGTGAGTCTGTTCTTGAATTTTTCCAGGTGACAAGACCAAGAAACTTTGGTGACCCTGTTGGGAAGGCCCAAGTGGAGGCTCCAGGGCCCATGGGTTCCCTGTCCACCTGGCACCAAGATCTCTATTAATTTTACAGGATAAGAGAAAGTATGATCTCATATGACATTTACGTATCTATATGTATAGACTTGCACAAAGTAAAATTTCTGTAAGATGGATGGCAAAAAATTCCTGGATATTGGAATTACAGTTGATTTTTATTTGTTTATTTGAAAGTGTTGTTGGTGCTTATTATTTTAAAATAAGGGGCAGATCTTGTTTTGCAAGGAAGTTAAAAAGAATTCACTTAAACGTGTATGTTATGTAATGGAAATGAAAAGCCAAGAAGAAAGACATTAAATGTTGCTGAGCAATGCTAAAGACAGACCTGAGAAGTTTATCCTATCACCTGCCACAAAGCAGGGTCAGGGCATTCCACTTCTAACGGTGTCCTCCCAAATCATGAACACTTTCTGGCCCCCCCTGCTATCTGCCTGTGGATCTCTCTTCTCTTTTCCAAATTCTCAACTTCCAAATTAAAGGTCTTCCCCAATGACCTCTGTCCTGTTCCTGGCACCCAGAACTTAGCCCTGTGCAGCTTCCCCTTTCCCTGCCCCACAGATTCAGCTGTTCCTGCCTCCAGGTCATCCTTGCTGGATAGGAAGGCAGGCGAAACTTCCTGGGGCTGCAAGGAGAATCAGGGAAGTAATTGAGGTTATTTTTTTCCTCAATTGCTTTTTTACTGTGGAGAAAACGTGAGTGGTTTATTAGGGCATATAAACCCCTGTAGAATTTCACTTTGATGGCTTACTTTCTGGCTCAGCTGAGTCCAAAGTTGGTGCCTCATTAGATGCAACCAGAGAGATTTTATGCACTTTTTTCCTGCTTTCTCACCACTACCCCCTATAGCTCTGGGGTCTACCACAGAGTCCAGGCATCTGATTTTTTATTTTATTTATTTCTTTAAATTCTCAGTTCACTTGTTAAAGATCAGCCAGGTATTCAGCAGAGGTGGCAAAAAGGCCTAGGTTTGAATTTACGAACCTAGTTTACGAGTTTAGTTTGAACTTGTCAATTAAGGGTGGAGTTGTTAGGTAAAGCCTCAAATATTAGTAATGAAGGGGAGCAGGGAGGGAGAGAGAGAAGAGAGGAAGAAAAAAGAAAGAAATCAGACAGACCAAAGTCTGTCTGTTGAAGGAAAAGATGGGGAGAAAATAATCCCTAAATCAGATCATTTTAAAGAAGATAAAGAATATTACCACCCAGATCTCAGCTCTCCACGGGAAGAACATAAGGGTCAGTGATTCTTTTTTTTTTTTTTTTTATGATAGTCACACAGAGAGAGAGGCAGAGACACAGGCAGAGGGAGAAGCAGGCTCCACGCACCGGGAGCCTGACGTGGGATTCGATTCCGGGTCTCCAGGATCGCGCTCTGGGCCAAAGGCAGGCGCCAAACCTCTGCGCCACCCAGGGATCCCAGGGTCAGTGATTCTTAAATTGTACCCTGAAGTCAATAATTTAAAGAAAGGGTGGGGGAGGAGGTCTTTTCATAATTATTAATTTTTAAGGCTGGGCTCTCTCTCTCTCTCTCTCTCTCTCTCTCTCTTTTTTTTTTTTTTTTTGAAGATTTTATTTATTTATTCATGAGACACACCGAGAGAGGCAGAGACACAGGCAGAGGGAGAAACAGACTCTCCGCAGGGATTCCGAGATTCCAGGATCAAGGCCTGAGTCAACCGCAGAGGCACCCAGGTCTCCCTCTCTTTCACAACTATCTTTGTCGTTATTGAGACTGGAAGTACTTCTCATACAGCGGTTGGCTGACCTGTAGAATCTGGGAAAAGATCATTTACATTTTTTTCATAAAGGGATCTTTTTAAAGAAATTCTGTGGATTTCATTTCTTCATCCAAAGACATATTGTTGCATGTCACCTCAATAAAACGCTCATAAGCCAATGAAAAACATTGTTTTCCTCATTTTCATAGGCATTTAGCAGCTGAGTCCTACCCATCCGCCTCTCCGCCCCCAACCCCGGACCTAGACCTGTCCCATTAGCTCCTCTACCTCAAACAACGTCATTTTCTGTCTTTTAGGTATTATCTTTGGAGTCTCCGTTTATTGAAAAAGGTTTGCTAAGAAAAGCCAGCACCTCTTCCTCTCCAACCCAGGCCCTCCCTGCCAGCCAATGAAGTGGCGCGATAGGAAGAGCGGGAAATTCAAACTTTTTGTCCTTCCCAGAGCGAGAGAGCCGTCCTCCCCGCCCTTCTACTGGCACTCCAGAAAAGCCAGGGACACTCAGAACAGGAAATGGGAGCTCGGATTCCTGGAACCCAAACAAAACTGAAACGGCTCTATGCTGCCATCGGTAAACAATTCTAATATGAATCTAAATTCATTTTATCTGTGCGCAAAGAGCTTGAGGGATACCCGATAGAGGTGCCCACAGGAACCACGGGCGACTATGTCTAGTTTACCCAGTGCTTTAGGCTAGGGTATTTAGGGCCAGGTTATCTATGGCCCTACCTGCTCTTTTACCGCCCAGACCTTGCCTCCTCCCAATAGGGCAAGTCTGGATTATCCCTATTCAGAAAACTTCTATCCACTTCTTTACCCAGCAGGGAAATCCCGATGTTTTAGAAGCGTGCAGTCAGGGGTAAGGGATGGATCCTAAGTATCCTGAAGCTTAGGGCAAGTCCGCAGCAGATGGGTGTTCCCTGCTGGGCGTTACGCTCAGTGCTGTATTTCGCTTTAAAGACCATGGGACTTTCAAAATCCATTCTCGGGTCTACAATTGCCTCAACGATCAGCTATTTTTTAGACTCTCTAGGACGCAAACGTATGGTAGCAGAGTTGAATTACATCGCTATGAAATAGCGGTTATAGCTCTTCTTGGAGAAAGTGGGTGGCTCTGAAAAGAGCCTTTGGGTTGGATGGTGCCTCGGAGAGCGCTCACTTGGAGCTGGTGTACTTGGTGACGGCCTTGGTGCCCTCGGACACGGCGTGCTTGGCCAGCTCCCCGGGCAGCAGCAGGCGCACGGCCGTCTGGATCTCCCTGGACGTGATGGTCGAGCGCTTGTTGTAATGCGCCAGGCGCGACGCCTCGCCCGCGATGCGCTCGAAGATGTCGTTGACGAACGAGTTCATGATGCCCATGGCCTTGGACGAGATGCCCGTGTCGGGGTGCACCTGCTTCAGCACCTTATATACGTAAATGGAGTAGCTCTCCTTGCGGCTGCGCTTGCGCTTCTTGCCGTCCTTCTTCTGCGCCTTAGTGATAGCTTTCTTGGAGCCCTTCTTCGGGGCCGGAGCAGATTTAGAAGGCTCAGGCATGGTTCTTTCCTACGAGTTGAAGAAAAGTTAATTGCAGTCACAAGTTACTGCTGTGAAGGGTCCGGAGCTCATTCTTTTATAGTTCCTCAATGCAAATGAAGTATCAAAAATTGTCACTTCTCGTTGGGTAAAATCAGAACTCTTTCGCTAAGGGGAGGGCTTATGCAAATTAAGGGTTCACGTTTTCTTTTCCTATTGGATTCAGAGACAAACATATTTTGACCAATGGGATAGATTGTTGGCTCATCCCTGCGCTGCGTATAAAAACTTTTTTTCCTCCCCCCCCCCCACCAAGCAGAGCTGTGTTCATTTGTGTGGAAACACAGGCACCGCTATTTGTTTGAAATGTCGGGTCGGGGAAAGCAAGGAGGCAAGGCTCGCGCCAAGGCCAAGACGCGCTCGTCGCGCGCCGGGCTCCAGTTCCCGGTGGGCCGCGTCCACCGCCTGCTCCGCAAGGGCAACTACGCGGAGCGGGTCGGGGCGGGCGCGCCGGTGTACCTGGCGGCCGTGCTGGAGTACCTGACGGCCGAGATCCTGGAGCTGGCGGGCAACGCGGCCCGCGACAACAAGAAGACGCGCATCATCCCGCGCCACCTGCAGCTGGCCATCCGCAACGACGAGGAGCTCAACAAGCTGCTGGGCCGCGTGACCATCGCGCAGGGCGGCGTCCTGCCCAACATCCAGGCCGTGCTGCTGCCCAAGAAGACCGAGAGCCACCACAAGGCCAAAGGGAAGTAAAATCTAGTACAGAGGGCACTTGCCTACAGTTTTACTACAGCAAATTCAAGGCTCTTTTCAGAGCCATTCATATTTCCACAAGAAAGGCTGGTAGCCCAATTTATGTCTTGTTGGTAGTTCTTAACATTTTGTGTAACAGATAAGGTTAAGTTAACGCTATGATCCAAATAAACAGGTATAGCCGACGTCGTTTCGCTGTAAGAAGGTAGAGTGAAAGGTACAAACAAAGGAAATTTGCTTTTTGACCAATACAACCTCGTAAGGTTTTTCCAATTTTTAGTTTTAGGAAAAACCATTTTATCTCCGGGGTCATTGTGTGTATCTAGTATTACCAGACCAGGTGCTTTACGTGTGATGTTCCAGATACACCCAGGGTCCCTGTCATGTAGTCCACGGGAAGAACTCCGTATTAAAGGGAGCTATAATGACCAAAGACGTAGGAAGTGGCAATCTAGGCGACCCGACATTTACTTCAAAATAACTAACGTGGGGGTATAGCTCAGTGGTAGAGCATTTGACTGCAAAATAACTAACGTAAGGGAAAAGACATGACAAAATTGTACTCAATGAAGGGTGCAGACCAGCAGGATTGATAACCTTCGAGTCTAAGAAATTTGGAGAATTTCAGGCCCGACCTATATTTACAGAACCACAAACTACATTTTACATGTTTATTTCTTAATTGGCTGGTTAAGCAAACTGTACTTAGTGAAAGTATAAAACATACCGAAAAGAAAGAGGGCATAGTTTATCCAATCAGATTCTCAGGTAATTAATCAATGTGCTTACAGTTTGACCAATGGTTTTAGCGCCCAGATCTTTTGAAAAATTACAAGGCCAATCAGAATGCTTCTTACTGTATATAATGGAATCTTTCGCCTTTTGCCCGCTAGGCTGTCCGTGTGTCTTTAGTTTCGTCCTATGGCTCGCACGAAGCAGACGGCGCGCAAGTCGACGGGCGGCAAGGCCCCGCGCAAGCAGCTGGCCACCAAGGCGGCCCGCAAGAGCGCGCCGGCCACCGGCGGCGTCAAGAAGCCGCACCGCTACCGGCCCGGCACGGTGGCCCTGCGCGAGATCCGGCGCTACCAGAAGTCCACGGAGCTGCTGATCCGCAAGCTGCCGTTCCAGCGCCTGGTGCGCGAGATCGCGCAGGACTTCAAGACCGACCTGCGCTTCCAGAGCTCGGCCGTCATGGCGCTGCAGGAGGCGTGCGAGGCCTACCTGGTGGGGCTCTTCGAGGACACCAACCTCTGCGCCATCCACGCCAAGCGCGTCACCATCATGCCCAAGGACATCCAGCTGGCGCGCCGTATCCGCGGGGAGAGGGCGTAAAACAAACTTAGAGTTGAAAAAGGCTCTTTTCAGAGCCACCCACAATCTCTTGAAAGCAGTTGTAACTGGAGTTCCAACTATTGAAGTAGAATTGGTACGAGAACCGTTTTTTTGAGATAACTGACTGGTAGCAACACTAGAGCATCTCTCTTAGTCATGTCCCCCCTTAATAAATACAAATTCATTGACTAAGATATTAATTTCTTTAATTTTCTAAGTATAAAATTATAATAAGCTGATAGTAGTTCACGGTTTTCCGAGGCCTAAAATGTACACAACTTGGCAACTGTTAATAATTACAATTCAAAATTTTAAATACAAAACTAGATAGCAGGGTATTAATTTATAATTGAAAGATGAGCCAAATTCCAATTATACACAAAACCATAGCCATTACAAAGTTCAGAAAAATAGCAGTTTATTAACTCTTGAATATAATACTACGATGTTTATTTTCTTATATTTTTGTCCATATACTCTGATTCCATTTTTACCTGAAAATTATTTTGGAATATTTTCTATATAAACAAGAGAATGCAGTATTTCCTCCAGGGTGATTGATCACAGCTTATTTTGTTCTCTTGATAACTTAGAACTAAGTTCAGCTTCAAAACATTATTGGTAGTGTCTTTTTTTTTTTTTTTTTTCGTATTTTACTTATTTATTTGAGAGAGAGAGAGAGAGCGCAGGAGCAGGGAGGAGGCCTAGAGGGAGAGGGAAAAGTAGACTCTGCTAATCAGAGAGCCTAACATGGAGCTAAATTCCAAGGCCACTGGAATCATGACCTGAGCTGAAGGCAGACGTTTAAACTGACTGAGCCACCCAGGCACCCCAGTAGTGTCATTTTTAACATGGTTTTCAAATTTGGAAAATCCTTTGTCAAAGTTCTTCATATGTGAGTTGTAAACTTTGGAAGGATTTTTAATGGACTAGCTTTCAGCTCTATACATTTCCAATCTGGATGCATCTGTACTATATACTTACTGCCAGTGTGTGGCTGCTACAACTACATAGATGTCATTATATGACATTTAGCCCTACATCTTCCTGCCTGAAATCCAGGTAAATTTGTCAGTGAGCAGTAGGAGTTTATTTCTTGAAACCATTTTTACATCCAATTGGCTACAACAACTGAATGAACTCTGTATCTAAGTACATCTGTAAATTTGATATCTCATTATCCCTAAACTAAACAGATATTAAGTAAATTTCTTCTTACCTAAATCCAAGTGTGTTCATTAGTACCCAACAGAATCAGGCAAAAGGTGAATTGTAATGAAAGGGAAGATTTAGTGGCAAAAAAACAACAGGTTTAATCAGCTGTAAATATCTTCACATTGAAATTTTGTTTTAAAAGAGAGACCAAGTGAACACACTCCACAGAGCCCCTCTCAGGGCTTTGGAAGTACTGGGCCTAGCTTTTGAGTTTCATTAGCTTCAGAGTAAATGTACTTCTGAGCACCAACTATGCTTTTCTAAATTACACGTGACTTCCCCTGCCCTCCTACCACCCTGTTCTAACACACCTCAGCAGAGAGCCCTAGGAGTTGAGAATCACTGGTTTGGGATGACTTTTTTTTTTTTTTTTTTAAGATTTTATTTATTTATTCATAGACACACACACACACACACAGAGGCAGGGAAACGGGCAGAAGGAGAAGCAGGCTCCATGCAGGGAGCCCGATGTGGGACTTGATTCCAGGTATCCAGGATCACACCCCGGGCTGCAGGCGGCGCCAAACTGCTGCACCACCGGGGCTGCCCTGGGATGACTTTTAGGCTCTGGGACAATCTGAATTTTGCTTTGCATGATGCTTTGGATCATCAGAGATACCAGGAGGACAAAGCTTAGTGGGAAGAATATAAATTCAACTCTGAGAAGTTTGAACCCTTTCAATGTAAATGTGAGTTCCCTGGAACAATATGCAGGGTTTATAGATCTATTCTGGACTATCATCCTCCCTCAAAGAGGTCCTCATGGGAGGAACAATAAAACCGTGTTTTCGGGATCCCTGGGTGGTGCAGCGGTTTGGCGCCTGCCTTTGGCTCAGGGCGCGATCCTGGAGACCCAGGATCGAATCCCATATCGGGCTCCCGGTGCATGGAGTCTGCTTCTCCCTCTGCTTGTGTCTCTGTCTCTCTCTCTCTCTCTCTCTCTGTGTGTGTGTGAATATCATAAATAAATAAATTTAAAAAAAAATAAAATAAATAAAACCGTGTTTTCATTGGAGTCAGTCTAATAGCTAACATTCAGAGTTCTCCTTGGGTCAAGTACCACATGAGCTGATTGTCCTGAATTATTATATACCTTTACCTTTTTTTTTTTTTTTTTTTTAAAGTAGGCTCCAAGCCCAGCACGGGGTCCAATGCAGGGCTCAAACTCAGGATGCCAAGAACAAGATTGAAGCTGAAATCAAGTCAGACTCTCAATGGACTGAGCTACCTAGGTGTCCCTATATGATTCTTAAAACAACACTGAAATTCAGGTTCTCTCACTGTCTCCATTTTACAGAGAAAGAACTTGAGTCTAAGAGATTTTAGGTGATTGGCCAAGTTCATACTCCTAATTAATATCATTGTCAGGCAATCTCACACCAAGCCCACACTCTAAATATCTTCTGATCAGTAAGATTGCCCGGAAAAAGATTCTTAGATCTAGTTGCTCCTCAAGGGAAACTGTCTCACAGATTAGGCTGAATGATTAAGAGTTGCAGTGGCCTGGCTTGGGCTAATTTCTGTTGTCAGAGTCCTCTGGTCAGTGGCCTGGTATGAGATGAAGTGGGTAGGATGAGTAGAAGGAACATCACATCTTAGGGATGCTCTCTGAGCTTCACGACCAACTCAGAACACTCATCTCCTTGAAACTCTGGATTCTGCTACAGAGTAAGTATTTGCTTGTGCCTTCCCCACGGTATTTACTATAGAGCTATATTGTCCAAGATATCAGTATCTTGTATGACCATTAAGCCATGTATGACCATTAAGCAACCAACATACAGAGGATAATTATACTGGCTTACTTATTGGAAACTACCTAGCTACATTCTTAATATCACCAATCCCTAGTATTAATGACACCTACCTCAAAGTGCTGTGACAGGGTGTTTGGTAATAAGTGGAGAGAGCTGAATACATTGTAAATTAGAGCTCAGAAAATGCTAGCTCTCAATATCCATGTTCCTACTGAGACCTAAATCCCTGCTCCACTATGAAATCCTCTAATGATATAATCTTGCTTCTCGAAACCTGTTCATCTCTGGCATGAATTTCAACCCAAAGTTACTCTTTACACTTCCCTAGGCATAGAATGGCACCTAGAACTTTGCCTATGAGAAGTAATAGGATATTTAATTTTTTGGCCACGAGAGCACTGTGTATGTGCAGGGAAAAAAAAAAAAGTTTGGTGTACTGCATTACAAGTAGCTTTTAATTTCTGTGTTACTAGCCTTTTGTCATACATATCACATGAGATCATGAATTATTATGTCATTGCTGAATTATCACTCAGCAGTTTATGCAGTGTTCATTGCTAGTTTTAGCTAACCAGCCATGTTCAGGCAATTATTTGAATATATTATTGCTGTATCAATATTATAATAAATAGATTATTATAAATAAGATTATTAATAATGTCAAAATAAATTATAGAAATCATAAACTAAAAGTCAAGATAAGGACCTTTACAAAAAAAGCAGTCAAATTAGATTATCTCTCTTTTTTTAAGATTTTATTTATTCATGAGAGACCGAGAGAGGCAGAGACAGAGGGAGAGGAAGAGGGAGAATGGGGATCCTGATGGAGAATTTGATCCCAGGACCCCGGGATCATGGCCTGAGCCAAAGGCAGACAGACACTCAACCACTGAGCCACCCAGGTGCCCCCAGCCAAATTAGATTCTAATGAATGGCTTACAGTATCAGACCTAAGCCAGCCAAGTTTGTGAATGCTTGTGAGGGAATGGAACAAAATCAGAGAAACATTGGTGAAGACTGTATCTAAGGTCTAGGCAAAATTAGAGATTTTTTTTTTGACAACTTTTAGCTTTCTGTGAATGAATTCTCCCTTTACCTTTACTAGAGAAGGACAATTCTATTTGTTTTTGAGGAAGTTTCATTTGAAAGTAAAGGGCACTCGTCACCTATGCAGATATGTTTGCGGAAGACATTTGACGTTAGGATCAGTTGCAAATATACATACTCCAATAGAGTGTGGACTTGAAAGTCTTTGAATGGGGAAGGGAACACAGATGTCATTATCATTGCAGGATGTCATTATTGTAAGCTCAAACTGTGATTATATTTGGAGTGTCTTAATTAAGTCTCCTGGTTGCTACAACTCAACCCACCCTGAGCCAAGTGAGGTGGTGGCCCCAGTGGCAGAAGGTCAAGATGGCTCAGGGGAACCAAGAACTCTGATGTCAGGAACCCAGAGAACACATCTCCATGCATCACTCCTCTCTGCTCTTGCTTATTCTGGGCTCCATTCTGCTCTGTTTATTCACCAGACCTCTTTGTTTCTCCAGGAGTGTCTAAGAAGACAGTTCCCCAGACATCAGGTCCCCTTAGTTTCTGTAACTCAGTTTCTTTTTTTTTTTTTTTTTTTTTTTAATTTTTTTTTTTTTTCAATTTTTATTTATTTATGATAGTCACAGAGAGAGAGAGAGAGAGGCAGAGACACAGGCAGAGGGAGAAGCAGGCTCCATGCACCAGGAGCCCGATATGGGATTCGATCCCGGGTCTCCAGGATCGCGCCCTGGGCCAAAGGCAGGCGCCAAACCGCTGCGCCACTCAGGGATCCCTGTAACTCAGTTTCAGTTTATAAACAAAATTTTGGGTGGTTCATATCAGCCCAATGACCTTCGGACTAGTCAACCATTCTTAAAGGTCGATGTTTTACCAAAGTTTAGGCCACAGAAGACGGTATATATTAAGACACGGTGACATGCAAGCTTTAAGTCGAAATAAGGTTAGAGAAGACCAGAGTATTTGGGACCAGAGAGTGTTCTAGAGTTTTGTTGTCCACGTGGTTGCCATGAGCCACATGCACTTAACTGACCTCTTGAAACAGGACAGTAGGAACATAGAGGTGCTGCATGCAAAGTTTCCAAAGACATACTATAAGAAATAAGAAAGAATGTAAAATATCTCAAATATTTTTACATTGATTTTATGTTGAACAAGAATATTTTGGATATATTAGGTTAAATAACTTATTAAAATTGATTTCACCTGTTTCTCTTTTCCTAATTTGTGTTATGGCTATAGACAGTACTATTCTAGAGGTGGTTAATTCACGAAATATAGATTCTTTCCATAGCTGGGTATCTTCAGTGTGTACTTCATGGGATGCTGGTCCTCAAAGAAGCTAAAATCTCAGAGGCTGCCATTTCGACAGTAACAAAGACAAAATACCTGGAAATAAAAATAATTAGAAATAGGAAGATACAGTCGGAGAAAATTTGAAACATTCTCAACAGGTATGAAAATTGAGGGCTTTTTATGTCTAATGCAGGGGGGAAGAGGTGAGAGGGAGGAAGTGTCTTAAATTACACTTGGAAAACAAAATAAATAGAATAACTGGGAAATCCTGAAAAAGAAGAGCAACGCGAGGGAATGAGCTCTATCAGCTATTAGTTATGTTTTAACACGTTTATTAAACATTCAATTCTTATATAATAAATACTATAGGTCATGTATTCTCAGCATTTAAACCAGTCCCGTGAACAGTCCTTAAGAGTGTGATCACACCTGAGGAATGGCCAAGATCAAAAGAACAAAGTAGAAAATCAAGAATTACTTCACCTACCACCCATGTAATTTAGCCTAGGATAAAAAGGTGGCATCTCAAAATGAGGGTGAGGTAGGGAGGCAAAAATGTTAGGGTCGGGTACATTTATTAAGCTTAAAATAGAGAGGGCTGGGTTGTTTTAAATGTGAAATTAACAGCACAGAAAACACTGGAAGAGCGGAAAATGCTGTCTGCGCGCGCGCGCTGCGCTCTCAAAGTGGAGATCTTTCTAATGTACGAAAACGGACATTAAAGTATCCGAATTCTTTTGGGAGGGACTGAAACCGGTGGTCACCACCGGTAACGGGAGACCTTATCTAGATTAACAACCAGATCCGTCACTGTGGCGATGGACGAACTGAGCTGCAAATCTCCAGAAGCCCCTGTTCCTTGGAACTCGTCTCAAAGGAAAAATCGTGTTCACCGGAGTAAAACCAGGACGAGGACCAGGACTTTGTCCGGAAGAAACGCCGGACACTGTAAAAGAACCCACAGGTAACACCGGGAATATAAACCCGAGCCCTTCATTAGCGACACCCCGCACCCCCATATATGTATACGTTTCCAGGTCTCCCCCTACGTGGTTCCTGGCGTGGACACTGGGGACTTGGGGCCGCACAGACACGCCATCGGAACGCCTCCGTATCCAGAGGCTGACGTCTGCCTGCAATGAAGCTCCGGGGCCCGCTACCAGGACAAAATGGCCGACAAAAAGTGGTTTTTGCTGCGCTGCGACCCATCACGCCTTGGTCCGAAGACACGGGACGCGAGGCACAAAGGGACATGGCCCAGCGGTGCGCGGTGGCCGGGTGCCTGCGGGCAGCTGCGCACCGGCTGGAGCACGACCGCGCGCGGGGCTCAGGCGTCCGAGCCTCCCCTCCCTCCCCTCCCCGCGGCCGGCTACCGTGCCCAGACCGGACCCACCGGCAGGATTCCAAACATGGCAGGGGTCCCAGGTACCGGATTCACGTCTTTATCAAGTGAAAAGGACAAAAGTCAGCCCGCTAGAAACAACCAACCGAGTACCCAGGAGACCGGACACCACCCAATAACAAACTCACGATGAAGATCCGGGGCGGCGAGATGGGCCAACCCGCGAGCAGGGCGGGACTTTTAAAGGACTTTCCGACCCAATCGGGGGATCCGTGAAGGCAGGGACTGGCAGGCGGGATGGATGGTGGTTCTCGATGTTCGCAGCGCGGGGCGGGCGGGGCTGGTGGGCGAGGGCGCCCCTCCCGGGAGGAAGCCCGGGGCACCGCGGAGCCAGCGACGCGCTCCCCGGCCCCTTTCCCGCGGCCTTACGGCCTCCAGGCCGACCACCCACCGCCCCTTTTAGAATGGGTAAAGAGAACGGAGTAGAGAATGTTCAGCTCTTTCTCGGAGATTAGTGGTGGCTCTGAAAAGAGCCTTTTTGGGTTTTAGAAGCAAACGGTCAACAACCTACTTCTTTTTGGGCGCAGCCTTCTTGGGTTTGGTAACCTTGGGCTTGGCCGACTTGGGCTTCACGGCCTTAGCCGCGCTCTTGGCCGCCTTCTTGGGTTTGGCCGCCTTCGCTTTTTTGGGGCTCTTGGCCACCTTCTTGGCGACGGTGGCCGCGGCGGGCTTCTTGGCCTTCTTCGGGGTCTTCTTGGCGCTCTTCTTGGGGGTGCCGGTCCCCGCTGCCTTTTTGGGCTTCTTGGCCGTCCCCGCCGCCCGCTTGGGCTTGGCCGCGCCCGCCTTCTTGGCCTTGGGCTTGGCCTCCCCGGAGGCCGCCTTCTTGTTGAGCTTGAAGGAGCCCGAGGCGCCGGTGCCCTTGGTCTGCACCAGGGTCCCCTTGCTCACCAGGCTCTTGAGGCCCAGCTTGATGCGGCTGTTGTTCTTCTCCACGTCGTAGCCGGCGGCCGCCAGCGCCTTCTTGAGCGCGGCCAGGGACACGCCGCTGCGCTCCTTGGACGCGGCCACCGCCTTGGTGATGAGCTCGGACACCGGGGGCCCGGACGCCTTGCGGCGCGCCCCCGCAGGCTTCTTGGCAGCCTTCTTCTTTACCGGGGCCTTCTCCGCCGGGGGGGCGGCGGCGGGCGCGGCGGGCGCGGTCTCCGACATGCTGAGGATCCGGACTCGGGACGAGTGGCAAAGCGCGGTGGGTGCGCCGGGGCCGGGCCGCCATATATATAGAGCGCAGGCGCGCGCTGATTGGTGCTCCGCTCGCCCGCCTGGCTGGCAGGCTCCGAGCCGCCGCTGTGCGCCTAAGTTGTGTTTGTTCCACTTCACAAAAGGGGGAATATGCGAAAATGCCCCGCACCAAATTCCCCGGCTTTGGTCGGGAAAGGATCCGAGAAGCCTCAGGCTTCGTGCTCTCGGTTTATTTTTCCCGCAAGCCCCAAGACAACGCGACCAGGCGCCCCCAAGTCCCCTAACTCCGAGGGAAGTCCAGGACGGTCGCAGACCACTTTCTGTTTTTCTTCTAAATTACCTGTTCGCTCCTTTGCCCCTGAAAGTTCTTTTTCTCAGGGGTGGTTGGGCTCATGCTTCCCTTCTCTGGGAGACAAAAATGAAATGGTTTCCACTTCAGTTTTCACGATAATTCTGTTTCTTCGCGAGGGAAGTAACACAGGTCCTCTGTGAATTCTGCGCACAGATCCACAGGAACCGTGGCCCGGGACAAGGATACCCGGGCCAGCCCAAAGCAGTTAGGGTCGGGCGAAAGGGGGTTCGGAAGCCTTGGGGGGGGCGGCCTGGATCGTGGTGGTGGTGGTGGGGTTAGAGACTTAAATCGTAGACTTGAAGACACTGAAATTCTTGATCAAATCCGTCTCTTCACAGATGGGGGCGGGGCACTTTTCACTTTTCCAAAGGGGAGAAATTGGGCAGTTTTTAAAAAGGTCTCCGGTTCCCCTCTGGGTTGTGCAAGGCAGGGGGTCTGACCCTCAAGAATAGAGATAATGAGGGAGAAGGGAGACCCCCTAAGGCTGCAAATAAATAAATAAATAAATAATTCCTCAATAGACTTGGCAGCTATAGACTTTGAGATGATCTGCTTTCAAAGAAAACAAGCATTTATGTATTTATTTTTATATGTTTCAATAAAGGGACAAATTTCGGCACCGGAAAATTCTACGTAGTAACCCAGGAACAATATCTGACCTGTGTTATGGTGTAGAAGGACACTCTGGGAATTCAAAGATCTCGATAGAAGTAAAGCAGCTGACTTTAACGTGATACACTTTTATAAGATGAACTATAGGTTTGAAGTAAAGCAAAACAGATGGCAAAATTTTAAATAGAAATAGAGGGAAAGTACTAGAATATATAAGTTATCAGGCCATTTCTTTGTTGTTGATAAGAATGCCTCTTCTCATCTCCTATAAAGCTGGTCTTACATATTCTTTTCGTTGTTGTTTTGGTCTTACTTATTCTATTCTTGTTTGCTTTACTTCTTTAAGGTTTGGTACTTCAGATTTCAGCCTTTGGTTGCCACAATTGCAATTTTTTCTGGAGAGAAAAAATTGAATATACCCCACTAGTCATGTATTTAGTATAATTACATATTTATATTTAGTGACAAAGGGAGTATTACAACTTACCAGAAATTCTCATTCAAATATACCACTACATGAAAATACGTATTAAAGATGTCTTCCTTTGACTGTAATCAATATGTTGTAGAACTTAAGTTCAGTGATAAAAAATGAGGCATCTTTTAGACTAAGGATAACTCCATGGTTTTATTGAATAACACTTGTTCAACATTTGGAAATTGTGTCTACTCCTGATCATGTCCTCTGGGAATTAACAGCCTAATAAGATTAGTGATGGATGAATTAGCAGCCATAGAAAACCACTTTAGACCTGCCATCCCTCACTGTGACTTTGGGTGTAAGAATTGTAAGAAGTTATTGAAAGTGTTTGAATAACCAAAGCACTTTTACCATGCTAATATACTTTGATAACAATATAATAAAATAAAATAAGAACATGCCACTTTGTTCTGATTCTCTGTGCAATGAGTCCTACCCAACACCCTCCACCCCAGGCATCTGAAATTCAGTTAAGTGTACTTTACCATCAGGAAAATAGCAGTGTAGAGTCTCGATTACCAGGTCACTGGACTTCCCTTCACTATAAATTGGTGTCCTGATTTACAAATCAGCAGCTTGTAAATTTGATTACTGTGGTTTAGTTCTCTAATATGATCACTCAAGTTGAATCAATCAAAACACATCTCCCTACATGCAAATCTGATGTCCAGATCTCAAGTCATTAGGACACCAGCTTCTCAGTCTTTCTCCCAACCTCCTGGCCTCATGGTAGAGGCCAGAAGGCAGAGAAACAAGCAACCCTTCTCCAGATCCCTGTAACTTGTGATGAGAAAAGTTACCTAAAATTTAAAAACAAGGGAAAAATATTTCTTCATATCATTCTAAGCTGTGTTAGGAAATTTTCTAGGTTCATTTGTGGGTCAGTTGATGCTCTAAGAATGCTCTACAATAAAATAGAATGTGAGTCACATATGTAATATGTGAGTTTTCTAGTAGTCACAATGGCAAAAAGAAAAAGAAAAAGATGAATTTAGTTTTAATAATATATTCTATTTTGGGGGGCGGGCAGGGGAGGGTTATTTTTCTAAATAAATTTCTTAAAAGAAAAAAATATATATATATAATCTACTTCACTCAATATATCCAAACAATGACTGTTCCAACATGTAATCAATATTTTAAAAAATAAGATAGTTTATGTTTCTTTTTTTCAAATGGCAAGTCTTCCAAATCTCCTGTATTTCATATTTGTAAGACATTTCATTTCAGACTAGCCACCTTACAGGTGCTCACTGGCCACCTGTGACTTTTAGCTATTGTCTGGACAGCCTAGCTTTCGAGAAGGTAACTGACTTCATAGGTACTCTTTGATTAGGTCCATAGTATGTAAAATTAGACATTCACTTGTAGAAGATTGATACACTTAATAAGGGTTTTATCCAGTAGAGAGGCAAATGAACTCTTTCCAGTAGAGAAGTTAACCCTAAGAGTGATGATTGCATTGCCCAATAGATCATTAACCAGTTTGTATCTGAGTTTTTCAGCCTCCCAGTATTTTTTCTTTCCCTAACTAAATACATCTTTCATTCTCCTATATCCTGCTTTGAGCCAACTTTGTCATCCTGCTTACTTGCCCCCTCATTAATGACTTACATCATTCTTTGTCCCACACATGAGCCTTCTGTAAACAGTACTTGTATGAGACACATGTTTTTTTTTTTTTTATAAATAAATTTTTATTTTATTTTTTTATGATAGTCACAGAGAGAGAGAGAGGCAGAGACACAGGCAGAGGGAGAAGCAGGCTCCATGCACTGGGAGCCCGACGTGGGACTCGATCCCGGGTCTCCAGGATTGTGCCCTGGGCCAAAGGCAGGCGCCAAACCGCTGCGCCACCCAGGGATCCCGAGACACATGTTTTTAACTTCTTGAAGATTATACTTTGGCACCTGGTTAGTCAGTTTGTTCTAAGTGCTCTAAATCAGAATCTTTAGAAACCATTCAAAAAATCAGAAGACACAAAACTTTTTGGCCATCAACTTTAAAGTAACCTTAGATTCTGGTAGGTGTGTCATGGAGTCTCAGGCTTTGAAATAAGATTAAAAAAGCCTATGAGCAACAAAAAGCCTATTAAAATTAGCTCTAAGGGAAAATTCAAGTCAAGAGTGTGTGGTCTTTCCACTCAAAACTGATGGCCTCAAGGCAGCCAGCAATAACCTGAGGACACAAATATTGCAATGCAATAAATTGTGTATTCTTGTATCTATACACATTCAAAATATTGTGGATTGGCTAATGTTCTCTCATGTTCTTCAAGTCTGGAAAGCTGGTGAATGAAATTAAGTATCTGGAGCTGAATGTCAAGTCCAAAAGGCAGCAATGGCAGCTGGACACAGCATGTAGGGGAGAGAGACTTGAAGAGCGAGAAATATGCAAGAACAATGAGAGATGTTGCTGGAGCAGGTGCATGGCTCTTTTACTGAGCCAGAATACGGTTCTGTCTGCTTCTGAAGGCAGCTAAACTGATTTAAGTGAAACTTCTTACAGGCCCCAATGGGGAATGATTAAAACCTGATTCTTCCTGACTTACCAACAGATGAGGCTAATAATAGCAGCCACTCCAATGGCTTGCCTGCTCAAGAATGCAAATGGTTAACGCTTCGGTTGCCTGCGGGGTTGATAATATGGGACAGCCTGAGAAAAAAATATGCAGGAAAGAGCTTTGGGAAATTCACGGCCTAAAGAAGATTGTAAGTTCTTCGTCTGTTAGCTGGCTTCAGCCCCACAAACCATTCTGACAAATAACCCAGTCTCTGTAGGCAAATAGCCAACAATTAGGGAATCGGACCTGATCCGAAAGGTTTCCCACACCAGCCTATGGGCAGCATAAGAGCGGAGACCACTGTTCTGCACGTTTATTGCCTGACACATCCTTAAAAGACATGGAGGAGGGGCACCTGGTGGCTCAGTGGTTGAGCATCTGCCTTTGGCTCAGGTGATGATCTCAGGGTCCTAGGATCAAGTACAGCATTGGGCTCCCTGTGTGGAGCCTGCTTCTCCCTCTGACTATGTCTCTCTCTCTCTCTATGTCTCTCATGAACAAATAAATAAAATCTTTAAAAAAAAAAAAAAAAGACAGGGACGCCTGGGTGACTCAGCGGTTGAGCGTCTGCCTTAGGCTCAGGGCATGGTCCTGAGGTCCCAGGTTGGAATCCAACATCGGGGTCCCTGCATGGAACCTGCTTCTCCCTCTGTCTGTGTCTCTGCCTCTCTCTCTCTTTCTCTCTCTGTGTCTCTCATGAATAAATAAATAGAATCTTAAAAAAAAAAAAAAGACATAGGGGAAAAAGAACATAGTGGTGAAGCACACAGTAGAAGCTTAATAAATGCATAGAGAATATCACAAATGCAGCTATACATTCCAATATATTTGCCTAACATTTTGGAATTGCTACGAGAACCACATAAGTGACATAGGAAACTAGGTCATCCATAGCCTTCCTTATTCTTTAAGCTTGTTTTCAAATGACTTTAAACTGTTTCAAAAGTCAAATCCACCCTCAAAAGAAAAGGATTTGTCAATAGTGAGAA